ACGGGCTGCCCGTGAGCGTCGCTCTGCGGTGCAAAGAGCACCGGACTGGGAGCCGGGCGGGGTGGATGGGCTCCGCGGAGCTGTCTGCCAGCCTCGGGCGGTGCCAGTCCCGCTTCTAGGAGTCAGCCCGGCCCCCGAGCAATTGTAGTATCTGCCCCGAACGCCCTGCGTGGACACTCCTGCAGGACAAATATTTACCGCCCTCCTTGCTTGGCTGCGGACAGGCCTGGGCAGAGGGTGCAGTGGGTCCCCTCCGACCCAGGTCCCTGATCTCCAGCTGGGAGAGACGCGGGGCGAGGCGTGCTGGTTAACGGTTAAGCCAGGCTCGGGGCAGGCTGGCACGGGCTCTGGGCACCTGCCCCTGCCCCTGGCTTTGCGTTTCCTCCCTCAAGCAGGGAAGTGTGAGGAGGGGGAGCCTTGGTTCCTCCGGGCTCCGGGTTTGAGCGAGGGTCCTGCCGGGCTCCTGGTGTGTCCCCGTCCTGGAGGGCTCCCCCAGCAGGAGTCTGGCCTCATCACATGCTTGGGTAGCAAGCAGGGCCTGTCCCACCTGCGAGGCCGGTGTGCCCGGGCGTAGGTGCTGGCAGGCTCGGGGGAGGTGGGGGGACCCCAAAGATACCTGGCGAGATGCGGGCAGAGCGAGGCTCCTTCCCCGGGGTTAAGGCACCAGCTGCCCGGGGTGTGTCTGGGCACAGGGCGGTGGGCCCTGTGCTCGCTGCCCGCGAGGGCACCCCCGCTGGACCTGTTCCCGGGCCTTCCTATCCTTGGCTCTCCTCTCTCCAGGCAGCGGCCGGTTGGACCCGGAGGCCTCCCCTCCCACTACTCGCGCCAGCATTTCCCTGGGGCCACCTTGGCACCACAGGTTTCCTCTCTGGCAAACCTGCCCGGCCTGCCTTCCCTCCGGGCCGCGCTGCCTCTGCACTGACGTGGTGGTGACAGGGGCCAGAGCTCCAGGGACCTGTCAGACCCCGTCCAGAGCTGGCAGCCTGGTAAGATGCCGCTCCCTCCCCCACCCGCCCAGGGCTGGAGCCAGAGCCGGGATGGCTCCCAGCTCCTGACCGTATCCTTCCAGAGGCTGAGCCAGGCCTGGACATGGTCACCTCGAAAATGAGAAGACCGCGATGGGGTGGGGGGGAGGGGCTGGGTTTCCCTCAGCCTCCCGTGGGGGCGGTTACGCGGGGCTGGCTCTGGGGCACTCTTTCTGGCCCAACCTGATGTGGGCAGGAGCCTCCAGGGCCAGAGCAGCAACCTGGGGAGGGGGCCCGTTCCCCGTCCCTGGTGTGTGTGTGTGTGACCGAAGGGCTGCCCCCCCATTTCCTGAAAGGGGACCTGGCCCCGAGCCCATCAGCCCAGGCGACCGGCCTGTGGGGTTCCTGACTCCGTGTGGGGAAGATTTCACAACGCGGGCCCAGGGGGTTTAGAGAGGACGGTGAGTGAGCCAGCACCGTGGAACAGGAAGGCCAAGGACAGAGGAGCAAAGGGAGCCGAGGTGGGGCGGCCTGGCTCACTGGGGAGTCAGAGAAAAGGGGGCCTGGGAGACAGCGTCGGGGGGGTGGGGGGTGAGCCTGGGAAGAGCCCCACTGCCCAGGGCTCCCCTGGGACCCTTAGACTTTAGGAGCCGCTCACCTGTCGGGGGAGGAGAGGGGGACGGGCAACGCAGGGACGTGCTTCTGGGAGGGGGAGCAGGTGCACTGGGACCTTGGGTTTGGGGTTTTTTTTGTTTGTTGTTTTTTTAAACATATTTTTATTGATTTCAGAGAGGGAGGGAGAGGGAGAGAAACATCAATGATGAGAGAGAATCATGGATCGGCTGCCTCCTGCACGCCCCCCACTGGGGATGGAGCCCACCACCCGGGCACGTGCCCTTGACCCGAATCGAACCCGAGACCCTTCAGTCCGCAGGCCGAAGCTCTACCCACTGAGCCGCACCGGCCAGGGCAGGTTTGAGGGGTTTCAGAGGCTGTCGCGTGGGAGAGGTCTTAGGGGAGGGTCTCCATAGAACAGCCCTCGGTCTCATGCTGATGTGTGGAGATAAGATTTATTCCCGTAACTGCCTCCGCCCTGGGGTGTGGGTTTCTGCTATCTCGAGTCGGGGATTTACAGCTATTGATCCTGTGCCGGGAGGAGCAGGGCAGCCCTGCCTCCCCCGTGGCCTTGGCGAGGGAAGGCAGGGCTTACTAGGGGGCTGTAAACTCTGGGCTGTTTCCCGTCTGCCTGTTTCCCTCATCCGCTCCTCCTGGCGGACGAGCCTGGGGTTTCCCAGGTAGCAGAGCGGTGTTTGTGCAGACCCCATGGGGTGGGGGCTGTGAATGCGCCCTCAGCCCCCAGGGCCGATGTGGAGGTTCGGGGGCTTGTAACAGGTCTCTCTCGGAGCAGCCCCACGTATTGGACAACCGGCGAGGCAGAGGTTGGGGAGCCGGAGAGTTAGGGGGAGAAGGGGAGACAGCCGGACCCCGGGCCCCTCTGGAGGCAGCCAGGAGTGAAGGAGCAGCGACAGCCACGCCTCTGGCTTCCCAAGCCCCTGGTCACCCAGGTGGTGGCCCAGCTGGAGTGACAGGGAACCAAGGTCCAGGTGACTCAGCAGGTGGGGGGCAGGGCTGTGGCTGGAACGAGTAAGACCTGTCCTCCCTTTGGGCTTCTTCTCTGCCCACTGGGGGGTGGCCCTAGCCCAGGGCTGATACTTCAGCAAGGAGCCAGAGGACCCTGAGTCTCCTGGCAGCCACTGCGAGGAAGCAGGCCCGAGCGCCCTACCTGGTCTGGCTCAGTGGTTAGAGCGTCGGCCTGCAGACTGAAGGGTCCCGGGTTCGATTCCCAGTCAGGGCACAGGCCCGGGGTGCGGGCTCGATCCCCAGTGAGGGGCGTGCAGGAGGCAGCCGATCCATGATTCTCTTTCACCATTGCTGTTTCTCTCTCTTTCCTTCTCCCTTCCTCTCTGAAATTTTTTTTAAAAAAGAAAAGAAAAACGAATAGACATGTTTCTCTTTAAAAAAAATGTTTATTTATGGGTTTTTGAGAGAGGGGATGGAAGGGAGAGAGAACAAAGCCACCGATTTGTTCCGCTTGTTCGTGCTTCATTGGTTGGTTCTTGTGTGTGCCCACCGGGATCACGCCACAACCTGGCCATGTCACTGCGATGCTCTAACCAGCCAAGCTCGCCGCCCAGGGGGACACACATTCCTTTCACTCGGGTGGGTCTAGGAAGGTCAACAGTGAGCAATGAACCAGATAACAAGAACAATGAGGGGCTCTGTGGTCTCCTGAGCAGGGGTGAGGTCTGGGGCAGGGACGAGACCCAGCCTTCCGCCCCAGCCCCCAACTCCCACCCGCGGCAGATAATTACATGGTGAGGCGGTAACTGCTACCTGTGCTGGTGCCGCGGGCAGGGAGGACCAGGCTGCACTGATGCCTTCCAGGCTCCGAGCTGCTCACCGGGAAGGGACAGAGGTGGCTGCAGGCCTGGCCGTCGGAGCCATAAGGTAGCGGGACTCACTGGGCAGGTGTGAGCCGGGGGAGTCAGACAAGACGTTGATTCAGCAACCTCGGGGCTGGAGTTCTGGCTCAGGAAGGATTCAGCCCGGCCCGCGGGGCTCAGTGCTGAGCGTCGGCCCATGACCAAGAGGTCCCGGGTTCAATTCCTGGTCAGGGTACATGCTCGGGTTGCAGGCTCGATCCCCAGTGGGGGCCGTGCAGGAGGCAGCCAATCGATGTCTCTCTCTCATTGAAGTTTCTATCTCTCTGTCTCTCTCTCTAAAAAATCAATAAAAACATTTTTTAAAAAAGAAAAAGAATTCAGAGACAAGATTCAAACTATAAGGTGCCGTTTAGCCCTGGCCGGTGTGGCTCAGTGGATAGAGCGCCCTCCTGCGGACTGAAGGGTCCCAGGTTCGATTCTGGTCAAGGGCACGTACCTGGGTTGCAGGCCTCCCAGCCCTGGTCGGTGGCAGGCAGGAGGCAACCAATCGATGTCTCTCTCACATCGGTGTTTCTCTCTGTCTCTCCCTCTCCCTTCCACTCTCTCTAAAAAATCAATGGAAAAAATACCCTCGGGTGAGGATTTAAAAAAAAAGATAAAGTTTGTTTGGAAAGTCACAGAGGTAGAAGCGAGTTGCAGAAGAAATGGGCTCAGGACACATTACAGGGATGAAGGAAGGGCCCTTGGAGCTCAGGAGAGAGAGGCAAGGAAAACAGGCCCAGGGGAGGGGGAGGCCTGGGAGAGGGAAGGGGGAGGG